GCAGGAGGTCTGTGGGCGGCGGGCGGGCGGGGGTGGGACAGCCAGGAGCGGGAGCAGGGGTCGGGGGAGCATCTTCTCATTCACGCACCTGCTTTGCGTCTCCTTTGGCGAAGCTTCTGTTCCGATCGCAGCCCGTGTTCAGGCCGAGCTGTCTTCCTGCTGTGGCTGCTGCACATTCGGGGTCTGAGTGCTCTCATTGGCTGCGGGATTTAGGCCTTTTCCCTCCCGGTCTGGGCTTGTCTGATCGGGGCCTTTCCAGGAGCCTGACGCCCTGGACGGGACACGTCCACCGACCAGAGCTGTGCTCCTCACGGACCTGCTCTGCGTCAGACCCGAGGAACCCGTGTCTGGCCCACAGTCGCGTCCGGAAGCCTGCATTTTTAGGGCTACGCTGGCCTGTGAGGCTCACGGGGCTTGTTCTTGTATCTGATCTACGCTCCTTTCTCTCCTTTCTCTTGCATCTGTCATGGTTCCAGCGCCTCCACTCAGTGCCCTTTGCACCTCTGTCCAGCATCGGCCGCCCGTAGGTGTGGGTCTGTTTCTGGACCCTCTGTTCCGCTCCATGGATGCATGTGTCTCGTTTGACACCAATACCACAGGTTCCCGAGGTCGGGGAGCAGACGTCCTCCAGCTTGAGTCTTCTTTCCTGAGGATCCCGGGCCCTTTCCGTTCCCATGTTAAGTCTAGAGTCAGCGTGTCCGTTTGCCCCAGAGCAGCCTGCGGAGGCTTTGATTGGGGTTGCGTTGAGCCCGTTGATCGCTGCGGGGAGGAGGACGGACACCTTAAGAATGCTGGGTCTTCTGAGCCAAGACGATCTCTCCACTTACTTTAGGTCTTTAACGGCCCGCGGCAGTGCTTTGTAGTTTCTCATGTCAGGGGCTTTCGCATTTCTTGTCAGAGGTATGGCTAGGCGTCTCATGTTTTCTTGATGCAGTTGTAAATACTTTTCAAATTTCAATGTCTGATCATTCGTTGCTATTGATAAAGGTACAGTTGATTTGCCGTTGATCTTCTATCCCACGCTCTTGTTAAACGGATTAATCCGTTCTAGTGGTTTTATATGCGTTCTTTGAGGTTTCTACACAGGTAATTGTGTCATCTGCACATAAAGACCGTTTTCCTTCTTCCTTTTCTAGCTGGACGCCTTTATTTATTTTTCTTATTACGCTGGTTAGAACCTCCAGTACAACGTTGGATGGACTTGGAACATCCCCGCCTTGTTCCTGATCTCAGAGGGAAAGCATCCATTCATTCCGTTTCTTGCCACTAAGTATGATGTTGGCGATGGTTTCTTACAACTGTTCTTCATCAAGCTGAGGAGGTTCCCTTCTGATGCTAGTTCTCTGTGAGTTTTTATGAAGAATTGATGTTGGATTTTTTCCAATACTTTTCCTGCATCACGTAAGAGGATCAAATTGTTTTTCCTTCTTAGTTTGTTCATTTAGTGAATTACACTGTTCAATTTTCACAGGTTAAGACAACCTTGCGTGTCCGGGGTAAATCCTACTTGGTCTTCGTGTAGTACCCTCTTCATATACTTGCTAACATTTTAGGAATCTTTGCATCCATGTACATGAAGTGTATTGGTTCTATTTTCTTTCCTTGTCATCTTTGTCTGGTGTTGGTATTAGATTAATGTTGGCCTCAGGGGTGAGTTAGGGAGTATTCCCTCCTCTTCTGTTTTTTTGGACATATTTCTGTAGAATTGATTTTATGTTTTAAACTAGAGGCCCCCGCAGCCCAGCCTGCACCCTCTCCAATCTGGGACATCCCTCTCACAATCCGGGACCACTGGCTCCTAACTGCTCATCTGCCTGCCTGCCTGATCGCCCCTAACTGCCTCCCCTGCCAGCCTGATCACCCCTAACTGTCTCTGCCTGCCAGTCTGATTGCCCCCAACTGCTCCTCCTGCTGGCCTGGTCGCCCCACTCAGCCTGCTGTTCGGTCATCTGTCCAGTTGTTTCAGTTGTGATGGCCCCTGGCTTTTTATATATTAGGATGCTTGATAGATTTCACAGACGAAACTATGTTCTTTCTCCTCCTCCTCCTCCTCCTTCTCCCCCGGTCTTATTTTAATCTATGTTTCATTTTGGATAGTTTATTTTGCAATGTCTTTGAGTTTACTGATCTTCCTTCTGTCGTATCTAATCTTCTCCCAATCCCATTCAATATATTTTTCATATCAGATATTATGATATCATGGTTTATATTTTTTTACCCTTCTCTCTACCTAACATGTTCAGTCTTTCATCTGGCTTCTTGGACATTTAAAAAATCTCTTGTCTACAAAATCTATCACCCGTGTGAGTCATTTCTGGGTCCGTTTCAGCGCATTGATTTTTCTCCTTATTATGGGCCAGTTTCTGCTTCTTTCTGTGTTTTGTCATGTTTTTGACGTCGTACATTGTGTTGGTGACGGATATTTCTGTTTTCCTGGAGATATTCTTGAGCTTTGTTCTAGGATGCAGTTCAATTGCTTGAAAAATGTTTTATCCTTTCGGGCCTTGTTTTGACGCCTGAGGTAATTTTGCCCGATACTGGGGCAAAGCCCTTTGCCAAGTGGCCCATGAATTCTGAGGCTCCCCACTGTGAGTGGGGGACCAGCGCCGTGTCCAGCTCCTGGGAGCCCTGGGATGAGCAACGCGTGACTCAGGTTGCTCCTGGTTCTCTCTTCTTTTCGTCTCTCTCGGCCGACAGAGCAAAGACATAGTAATCGCATCTGTGCACATCTGCCCTCTGCCCCTCGCCATCTCCGCGGGGGGCATTCTAGCCTCCTCCCCTTGTCATCCTCCTCGCCCAGCTCCGCCCTCCACACTCGTTCCATCAATTGTTCGTTCCCAGGTACGTGTGTGTGCACACGGCGGTTTCAGACGTGTCAGCCCAGCCCGTGGCTGCTTCATCGGCTCGCGTGCAGTGCTCCTGGCGCCGCAGCCTTGAGTCTCCGACCCACTCATTCCCCAGGCTCCGAGGGCAGCGCCTCTCCCCCTCAGCGAGCTTGTTCCGTGCCCGTGGAACCCCGCGGGGTTCCTGGGGGGTGGGGGGGCACACTGCCTTCCATCGGGCTCCCCAGACCTCCCGCATTAGTTTTGCTTTATTTGCAACATTAAGGACCACTCGGTACCGTGAAGTTGTGTGGATTTGGACAAGGGCGTAGCCTCGCGCGTCCACTATTGCGTTTTCATACGAGTGGCTTCCCGACCGCCAAAGAGCCCCTGAGCCCCTGGCCTTCAGCCCGGCCCGCCCGGCCCCACCGAGCAACGATCGTCTCCCCGGCCTGCAGTTTTTTTTGGACTTCCCGCTGGAGCGCGCAGGCCGCTCCCTCTCCACCCGCTCGCCTGCCGAGGGCACTGGGCGCTCGAGCTCGGTTCCTGCGTGGACGTCCGTTGTCAGATGGCCCGGGTGAATCTCTGGGCACGTAATTCCTCTCGCGTGGGGGATTCTGCGACGTCCTCCGCAGTGGCCACGCGCTGGGGCTCCCTGCCCCGCCTCCGTGCCTGCACACGGTGGTGGCAGGTTTGGAGTTAGCCATCCTGATGAGTGTGTAGTGACGTCTCACTGTCGTGTTCATTCCGTTTCCCAGCGACCGGCGACGGCGCATCGCATCGTTTCATACGCTCCCTGCAGCCGGTACGCCTTCTCCAGTGGGCGTCCGTTCAGACCTTGGCCCATTTTTCAACTGGGTAGTTTGTTTTGTTTTTAAATATATTTTATTGATTTTTTACAGAGAGGAAGGGAGAGGGATAGAGCGTTAGAAACATGGATCAGTTGCCTCCTGCACACCCCCTATTGGGGATGTGCCCGCAACCCAGGTACATGCCCTTGACCGGAATCCACCCTGGGACCCTTCAGTCCGCAGGCCGACTCTCTATCCACTGAGCCAAACCGGTCGGGGCAGTTGGGTAGTTTTATTATTGTGACAGTTAACTCCTTTGCGAACTTGAGTTACAGACCTTTTATCAGACGTCTGTTTTGCAGATGTTTTCTCCTGCTCCGTGGCCTGTCTCTCATTTTCTGAACGGTGTGTTCGGCAGAGCAGGCGTTTGAATTTTAAGAGAGTGCAGCTTAGCCTTGTCGACTGGTTGAGCATCGACCTGTGAACCAGGAGTCACGGTTCGATGCCTGGTCAGGGCACAGGCCCAGGTTGCAGGCTCCATCCCCAGCACGGGGCCGTGCAGGAGGCAGCCGGTCCATGATTCTCTCTCATCGTTGATGTTTCTCTCTCTCGCTCTCCCTTCCTCTCTGGAATCAGTAAAAATATATTTTAAGAAAAGAGAGAGTCCAACTTGTTTTTTTCTTTCACGGGTTCTGCTTTTGGCCTTGCCCACGTGGATTTTTATGCTTCGTCCTGGTGCAGTTCGCCGAGTTAATGCGGAAGAGCTGGGAGGAAGCAGACAGAGTAACAGTTCTGTAGGATGCCTCAGGGGCGGGGCTCGGGGAGCCGGTGGGTGGAGGGACCGGCGAGACAGCCAGGTCTGCGGGTCCAGAACCCGAGCAGCTGGGCGGGCGTGTGGGCGATGCAGTCATAGGGGCACAGGAGGGGGTGGGACAGCCCAGGACAGGGGCACCTCAGGCCGGGAGCCCCGCCCACAGCTGCTGCTCCTCACTCAGCCCCTCCCCTGTGACATCAGACCCTCATGAAGTTGATGGAGAAGGATGGTGGGGGGGATGCTGTGAAATTCACCAGTGTCTCCTGTCTGTCCGCAGACACGCTTTCCCCGGCTTCGAGCCCCTCGTCGGTGTCTTACCCTGTGGTCCCCGGCAGCGCCGACGAGGCCTCCAGCACAGCACTCAACATCGAATGCAGAATCTGTGGGGACAAAGCCTCGGGCTACCATTACGGGGTTCACGCGTGTGAAGGCTGCAAGGTACGTGGGCCCCCGAGGAGGAAGCAGACGGCCTGCTCCAGGGACCACATGTGGTTCATTTTATTTCATTTACTTACCAGAGGCCCGGTGCACAAAAATTTGTGCACTCGGGGTCGGGGGGTCCCTCAGCCCGGCCTGTGCCCTCTCGCAGTCTGGGACCCCTCAGAGGATGTCCACCTGCTGGCTTAGGCCTGCTCCCTGGGGGATCAGGCCCAAACTTGCCTGCCCCCTGGTGGTCAGTGTGTGTCATAGTGACCAGTCATTCTCAGTCGTTCTGCTGTTAGGGTCAATTTGCATATTACCCTTTTATTATATAGGATTTTTAATGCCCACCTGAGGGTATTTTCCCATTGATTTTAGAGAGAACGGAAGAGAGAGGGAGAGACAGAGAGAAACATTGATGTGAGAGAAACACATTGATTGGTCACCTCCTGCAGGCATCCCGTCCAGGGCCTGGGCTGGGGAGGAGCCTGCAACCGAGGTACATGACCTTGACCGGAATCGAACCCGGGACCCTTTGGTCCACAGGTCGACGCTCTACCCACTGAGCCACACCGGCAAGGGCCCTTTTATTTTACACACAACGTTTGTCATTGCGGAAACAGATGTGCGAAGGCAGTTGATATGAAACGGAGCTAAGCAACAGGATGTCTCTCTTCGGAGAGCCGGGCAGGCCCCGCACTGGCCTTGTAAACGCCGCAGGGACCTGTGCTCTAAAGGCACGTACGCCGTTCAGGGGCCTGTCACTGGGTACGAGGCTGGGAGCTTTGGCCCCGTCTCTCGCATCCTCACCAGCACGCGGGAGGGCAGGGGTCCCGTGGCGATCAGAGACGTGCGCGTCTTTCTCGCTCTGCGGCCCACTGAGCCAGCCCAGGGCGCGGGTAGGATGGGCCCCGTGAGCCAGCCCGGTGCCAGGCAGGATGGGCCCGTGAGCCAGCCCAGGGCGCGGGTAGGATGGGCCCCGTGAGCCAGCCCGGTGCCAGGCAGGATGGGCCCGTGAGCCAGCCCAGGGCGCGGGTAGGATGGGCCCCGTGAGCCAGCCCGGTGCCAGGCAGGATGGGCCCGTGAGCCAGCCCAGGGCGCGGGTAGGATGGGCCCCGTGAGCCAGCCCGGTGCCAGGCAGGATGGGCCCGTGAGCCAGCCCAGGGCGCGGGTAGGATGGGCCCCGTGAGCCAGCCCGGTGCCAGGCAGGATGGGCCCGTGAGCCAGCCCAGGGCGCGGGTAGGATGGGCCCCGTGAGCCAGCCCGGTGCCAGGCAGGATGGGCCCGTGAGCCAGCCCAGGGCGCGGGTAGGATGGGCCCCGTGAGCCAGCCCGGTGCCAGGCAGGATGGGCCCGTGAGCCAGCCCAGGGCGCGGGTAGGATGGGCCCCGTGAGCCAGCCCGGTGCCAGGCAGGATGGGCCCGTGAGCCAGCCCAGGGCGCGGGTAGGATGGGCCCCGTGAGCCAGCCCGGTGCCAGGCAGGATGGGCCCCGTGAGCCAGCCCGGTGCCAGGCAGGATGGGCCCCGTGAACCAGCCCGGTGCCAGGCAGGACGGGCCCGTGAGGCAGGTTGTCTCTGCATCCTGGCTTTTAAAATTCTCTCTTCTCCCTTCCTCATAATCTCATATGTACTTCAGCCATCCTGCCTTACCAGCCTAGATGGCCGGTCAAACGAATATATGAA